CAACAATAACAATAAAAATAATATTAATAACAATATGAGCAGTGGTGGCTCCAGTAATTTGCTGGGGGGGGGGGGTATTGAACTAATGATCACCACTAGCGCCACCACTGAAACTTAGGTGAACAAACATTACCAGATAAGGCCACTGTTAGAGCACATATTCCACTAGGAATCTGAATTAATGTGGATAATGTTATATTAGATACAGAATTTGTGCCATGGAGGTCTCTCCACGAAATGAGACGCATCATTGGTGAAATCATACTAAGATATTCACCAAAATAGGTCACAGTGAAATGTTTTACAAAAGTCGGATTTTAATGATTGTATACATTTAATATGAATTTTCTTACTAAAACAGTGTACTCCATGCATGTTCTGTAATTGTAGTCCTATTATTTGTACGGGTTAGTTTAACTTAGGAGCTAATTTTCTCAAAACCTGGTTCTCATGCACCTAAAGTTTAAATGCTCACATCTCTGGATCTACTCATCTTAGGGAAGCCAAAGACCAAATCAAAGCTTATAATGTGATCTATCCACATACTGTATAATAAACTAAATTTTTGATATTCCAACCCTGAGACTTATTTCTTGGAGAGAGACCTCACATTTGTTTGTGACAAATTTATAGGCATAGTAAAGAAAATTAAAAGAAACTCGGGAATACTTTCCTTCTAATTTCCAAATGTTTAATTTCAATACATGGGGGGGGGGGGAGGGGTTACTTATTATATATTTTATATTAACAAAATTAGTTTACAAGGAATCACATTTCGCTCAGGCAATACCAAGTTTTCCAACTTTTGTAACAGCTTTCTTATCATTTTGTAGTTTAGTCATCATTGTGCCGAATGAATAAAAAGAATTTTCAAACTTGTTAGCAGATAAAGCAGACTTTTCAAGTTTGTAAAATGCATTTCCATTTCTATGTCTTCAGATTTCCATAGTAAATGAAACATTTCTGTGGCACCTAATGTGGCACCTAATAATTTGCCTTGAGTGTTGTCTAGAGACAATGTAACCAAAGATCCTGATGGAAAAAGTCATTGTTTTGGGCTTCAAACTTATGATAAATTTCCATAGAAACTAGAACTAACCACGGAAGTTCTGTAGTACTTGCATAAAGAAAATATATTTATGTTAAAATTCTATATTTATGTCATTGGTAGATAAATGTTATAATTACTGAGTGCATGAGCATATAAATAAAAATTGTCAATGAGTGACTTAACTGATTATTAACTCAATTTTTATCACATGCTCTAACTGAACAATACATCACAAGTACAAAATGAACTAAGAAACAGCCACCATCTACCAAGAAATATGAGCTACAAAGAATAGTTGGATGCTTTGATAATTACAAATGTTATGATACAAATCTAGATATTTCCCCTCAAAGGCCATGTGATATCTGAAAGCAACATATGATAACTTTGTAATTAAATCATCAGCCACAAGAGAATATTATAATTTTCAATGTTTCATGTTTTCATAAAAGAATGGATGCAATACCATCGTCCTTAGTTCAACAGATTGCGTATCTCCTTATGCATGTGACACAAGAAATCAACGTAAGATGCTGTGGCATTTGACCCCTTGTCCTCTACTAAGAAATGACGGAACCATCCTTCCAGGGCATCACGTTGACGAACCAGGGCTAGCTGTGGAGGCAAGGTTAAACTATAAGGTAATTGAGTTTCCCTAATAAAAACAACAAGACGTTATTCAATGGCTTTAGCAGTAAGAAAAAGCTGTTCTATTCTGGAAAATTTAAAGGCATATACAAGTTTAAACTCATACAGTTCAGCTGGTAAATGATCTCTGAAGTAGTCAAAGGGAAAGGTCATGGGTTTGAATCTAAATTGGTGTGATATCTTGTATTGAAGACTGTGCGAGGTTAAAAAGTGCAATCTTAGACCCCTTTTTGAGATCATATCACATGGTCGTACAGAATGCTATGTTGCAATAGAGACACTTCAGTAATCTGATTAATAAATTTATTAATCCATGAAGAAATAGTTTTCTTATTACTCATTTCATAGAGCTGGTCATGAAAAAAATATTTTTAAAATGGTGTGTGCTAACAAACCAAAAATTACATTTTATTTTGTATATGAAGTCATCAATATTGGCGTGCAGTAGAATCGCTAAAGTCTTGCCTAATGAAGTGGACTTACCTTCATGTACCTTGGCCTCATCTTCCTCACATCATCAACCACACTTCGCACCTGGTTTGATACTTTATTATCAATTTGCAGAAGTTTTTGAGATTCTATATTAATCTGTGCGGCTGAGTTGACACCAAAAACATTCTGTACCCAGTCCTGAGGCACATGTAGCCCAATCCACATAAACATTGAGAGTCCGTTTTCTAACAAGTAGACTCCAGTGTCACTGAGACGGTCTGCCGAGCAGCGGATGGCAACTGGTAGGGTGTTGGATTCTGGGTTTAATTCATGCTAATGATGCATAAAAAAAAGAGAACAGGAAATACAAGGTAATAAAAGAAAGCACTGAGGCTTCTAAACTGGAAAGTGTTAGGTGTTTTAAAAACAACACAAACAACTTTAAACCAGAAACCATTACCGTCACCATTACCAAATTACCATTACCGTCACCATTACCATTATCGTCACCTTTACCGTCACCATTGGTGTAAAATATTTTTATTAACATAATCACTATCATTGCTGTTTTTATTAAATTTTATGTTTTTATCGCTGTTATAGTTATCATTAATATTTAACACTTTTATTATTCTAAAGAGGTTAACAAGATTAACATGATCAAAACATGATCAGGTGTCATTTTCAGATATTAGGAGGGACCTTGTTTTGTAATTGTTGTTATTGATGTGGTGCATACTTACCAAGGGTACCAAGCGAGGATAAAAGTAGATGTG